TCTCTCGTGTTTCACTCGTCTTTACCCCGACCTTTCATCGTATTCCCCCTTATAATTAGAAACGCTCGAGTCAAATCAGCGTGAATGAAATGAAATGAAAGCAAGCCAACTTTGAAATTGATTAAGATTCAATATATTAATGGTTATGTTATATTATATTTATGTTATATTATATTATATTTCATTAAACATATACTCAGGAGGTATTTGAATTTTATAATTACGTAAATTATATTAAACCGAGTTAATTATATTAGATGCCGATTAAATGATTGGTATTATTTCATGCAGTGTCAGATGTTTCATTGTATTAGATTCTAATGGGACAAGTGTACGAACGGATCAATGGATAAATGGTAATAGTAGATTGGGTAATGCTAATGAATCTTTGTAATATAATTTTCGACGGATAAACTTGAAAATAAAGGGAGCTTTATTTAAATCTCGTAATTAAACGAGAGATGTTTTCTTAAAGATTAAAACGAGTTTATGGTTGAGCCGAGAAATTGTAATATATCTTGAAACAATATACATAGTATGGCTTTGCTCTGATTAACGCTGACAAGATCGATCAAACGAATCGATCTTTTTAACTCGTTACATTTATATCTGCTTTATATCTATTCGTTCATCTTGCCAATCTCACGACACATTATATAAGCAAATTTATGATAATTAAAATCTCGAATGCTCATTACTATGATAATTATCGGGATAATAATAGTGGTGATGATGTTCGATGACTTCCTCGCACTTCATATTTTCAAATGATCCTGGCATAGTGACGTTAAACACCATTTCCGTAACTCGTAGGATTCATTATGATTTATTTCTTTCTTTTCTTTTTTTTCTTTTTTCTGATATAAGGAGATAAAACTACATAGAAAATCTCATAAATTTCTCAAAATCTTTAATACATCATGAACCAGTTTTTAAAGATTACGTACATTAACGAATTTATAAAACTCAATTTAATTAATATCCCTTATATTATTTTTAGTATAACTTTGTAGAAGAAACCTTGTTTAAAATAGAATCGTTCTCGATTCCGTCCATCGAGGATTCGATCAATAGAACAATCCGATCAACTTATCTCGTCTTACTTACTCTATACTCTATTTTTATGATCTTCGATGACAATTCGCACGTCATCGAAACCAGATGGTAACAATGTAATAGAAACGTGTCTCGATTTCGTGACCTACACTCACAAAAGTGGATAAATGTGCCATCGATCGTACGATATTAATGCATAACCCACGGCAATTAACCCTTACGGTGAACTTCGTACACCGAGGTCATGGATGTTAAATGTCGTTCGAACGTATTTATCGAGAATTTCTAATAAATACTTATATCGTTCTACTAAAAAAAAAAAAAAAAAAAAAAAAAAAAAAAAGCGAGGCGTTCCTAAAGAAAAAAGTAATTATATAAGAAAAATTTTTTTCAATCGATGTAATTACGTTTTTATAAATACAATTTTTTTTTTCTTTTTTTTTTTCTTTAAGTAAAAAATATCAAGTAATACACTATCATTTGAATGTTTCCACTCGTATAATTTATTTTTTCATTTTATTTAAATATAAGAAGATGGCTTACGAAAGTAAGTTTTTTTGTAATTTCTTTCTGTAAAATCAAATCTGTTTAGAAACGTACAAGACAATTTTAATCGTACTTATTCGATGAATCGGGTCAGCTCAACAAGTGAAATTGATCTCAACTAATTATGTATGCATTTATGTATGTAACTCTCGATATTTCCATTGCATTATGTTTCGAAAGTGACCGATAACGATGAAAACGAACTCGCAATGCGACAAAATATCCCGCGAATGTGACAAAAACTGGTGAGATTACGTCTAAAACATAACGGGATTCTGCGGGTAAATATTAACGCGGTTGCTTTCGTGCGTCACGTACGCTCGACAGCTCGATTTTTATGGAAAAACCGGCGTCACGTATGAGTGACGCCGAAGGACAACTAATTTCCATCTCTCGCGTTCTCGCACGAAATTAACAAAACGAAACGGTCGCTCGATACACACAAATACGGTCTAATCGGATGAACAAACTTTGTAAAGAACGAAAAATAATATCATTTGATTTTATATATATATACATACACATATGTATATAAAAAAAAGGAAACGAAATGAAATAAAAAAAAAAAAATACTATAATACTGAGTTGCACATAACGATCGTAAAATCGTTATCTTTTTACTGTTTCGCTTTTTACAAACAAACAAATAAACAAACAAACAAAAAAAGAAAAGAAAGTAAAAAATAAAAAAATAAATAAAAAATATGGTTTTTACATAAAGTGATAACTTTATAAAAAGAACAATAAATTGCTTATTTGATTAATTCCTCTCGTATAATTATCTATCCGTGTAAAATGATATTATCAAACACAGGTATACGCGCGAATAGAAAAGAAACAAATTAAAAAAAAAGAAAGAAAAAAAAAGCATAATAAAAAATATTATTTCGTAGTAAAAACATTTGTAAAAATATTTTTTACGCGCGAGTTTCTTTAAAAAGTATTAAATGATTTTTATTATAATATACTAAATTTTATACTGATACATAGACATACAATCGTTTCGAGAAAATTACGATAAAATTCGTTCGAAACGAAAAATTGACATTCGGACAATTTTCGAGGCATCAGAGAGAAATAAATTTGATCGTAACGAGGGCGCAAACGTTGACGTAGGTCCTTCCTGTTTGGACGATTAGGGTCGTTCAGAAAATTATACGGAAAGAAAAAGAAAGAAAAAAAAAGAGAGAGAGAGAGAGAGAGAAAAGATAGAGTGTGAGAGAAAAAGAGAGATAACAAAAGAGCACACGTGCCATCTGTTAGCGTGTTGGAAAGGACGATTCGATCTATCGTTTGGCCAAAGTCAAAGTGTCTAACATCTGCTTTTGCAGATGTCTTTCGTCCAGTGGCCTCTGTTGAAAAAATGTTTGGTTTTCCCTCGAAATAGGGGGGCGTAAGAGGTAGAGAGAGAGAGAGAGAAAGAGAAAGAGAGGGTGGAATCTTGCTTCGCACACCGATGCCCCAACATTCTCCACTCTTCCCCTCTCGCATTTTCTTTCTTTCTTTCTTTCTCTCTTTCTTTCATATGGCAAATTTTTCTCGAGACATCAAAAGATAGAAAGAGAAAGAGAACGGAAAAATAAAGCGAGAGCAAATAAATGAATCGTCTCGTGTCCTCTCTGGATGGTTAAACGAGGGAGCAAAGCGGAAGAAGTGCCTTTCGTTAACGTTTCAGTAGAATTTTCTTATTTATACGACACGTTTCTCTCTCTCTCTCTCTCTCTCTCTCTCTCTCTCTCTCTCTCTCTCTCTCTTTACGAACCGTTGACCTTTTTCAAACCACTTTTCAGCCAGAAAAAGAAAAAAAGAGAGAAGATAGATAGAGAGAGAGAGAAAGAGAGAAGGAGGAAGAGATATCTTTTCAATTATTTACAAAACTTCTTGAGCCTAGGTAAGAAACGTTTGAAACAATAAACGTCCAACCTACTCGAGCGTCGATTTGGAAAAATGAAATCCAGGTCATACGTTGCCGTTGTAAGAACGATGACTGATTGACCTTTTCCCTCGCTACGACCTTCTACGAAACGAGCAAACATAACTTAAATAATTAGATCGAGTCGATCTTGCGATATAGGTTAAACGATGTTATTGCATATAAAACTCGATGGAGATCGAGAAAGTAGAAAAATAAATAAATAAATAAATAAAAAAAAAGGACGACGCTATATTATTATTTCGAACGACGTAATGTCACGAATCGAGAAAATAACCGGTCGCGCGATTGGCCAAGGTAAAAGGAGAATCTCGTTCTTTCTTTTTCTTTTTTTTTTTTCTTTCCATTTTTTACGTGATTCTCAACGCACGTTTCACTTACATACATATACATATATAAATTATATTTTGTTACGACCAAATGAAAGTTTCTTCGACGCGTACGAAAATCATTCGAACAAAAATACCAGTATATATATATATATATAACCTTCTTTACTTTCTCCCTTTATCTCTTTCTATCTAATCAAATAGCAACGGAGGAAAAAAAGCGCTCGAGAAAGAGGAAGAGAGAGAGAGAGAGAGAGAGAGAGAGAGAGAAAGAGAGAAAATAAGAACGAAAGCGGAGAAGAGAAATAAGTACGTATACACATATATGTATTACATTTTGATATTGAATGAAACTTGAACGAAACGACAGACGGTGTACAACACAGTGGCCGGATGAATACTTATCTATCCGTTTAGGTACCTTATGCCATAAAGTTATGCCGAATCGAAAACTACCGGGTGTATCCGAAAATGCGTCAGTTTCAAAGTGGAAGTATGGAAGTTTAAGATGGAAGAGAAAGATGTAAACGAGAAGGAAGGAAGAAATGAAAGGAGAAAGGGGAAAGAGAAATGGTAGGAGAACAGCAAGTTTTCACAAAGCACTCGAAAGAGAGAATGAAAGACAGAAAGACACAGAGAAAGATAGAGAGAGAGAGAGAGAGAGAGAATCTCGCGCTAACCTTACTTGCCAATAGGAGTACGAGGCGAAATTTCGAAGCGCGTTAAGGAGGGCGTTAAGATATTAAATCCGAGAGCTTCGTCGGCTTCGGGTTCCCAACTAATTATGGAGTTGAGTGCAACCTTAGACCGACTCTCTTCTCTTCTCCTCTATCTTTCTCTCTCTCTCCCTCTCTCTTTCTCTATCTCTCTCTTACAGTTCCATCGTCGTCCTACCTACCCTACTCCTCTTTTCCCACCTCTACCCCCTCCGCCTCGACAGCAATTGATTTAAGACTTCACCGGCAGCTGTGTGGATGCGAAATTGGACGGGAAATTTGCCTCGCCTACATTACCTTTCTCTTGCTCTCTCTCTCTCTCTCTCTCTCTCTCTCTCTCGTACATTTGAGGGGTGAGATCTGAGATGGTGGGAGAAGGGGTGGGTAGGTTGAAATGGCTCCGTACTTTCGAGACGATACCTTCGATACGAAAGACGAGATCGGCTTCTCCCTCGCATTTTAATCCACATCCAGGATGGAAGTAATGTTCGTACGTGTTCGTTCGTTCGTAAGAAAAATTGCCTTGAGACTTACCTGTAACAGAGAGAAAAAGATTTTCGTTAAAGGATCGCAATGGCCGATATGATCGTATCGAAGATTAAATGTTCTAAAGAGAGAACGAAAAAAGAGAGAGAGAGAGAGAGAGAGAGAGAGAGAGAGGGTGAATCAGAGTTAACGTGCCATTCGATATCGAAAAAAGAAAAACCATTCTCTCTCTCTCTCTCTTCTCTCTTTTTTTCTCTCTTTCTCTCTTTTTCAAACGATGTTCTCACTGACGGCTTCATCGACGAAGAAATCCTGACTTTGCCGAATGAACCGAACTTAATAGCTCCTACGACCTAAGTAACAGTTTCCTGCTTCTCCGAGTAGAAGCGGAGCTATTCATTTACAACCTACTTATCCATTGTCACTGAAATTGCACGAGGAAGGGGGGGGGGAGATAGATAGGGGGATGGTGGAACGGAGGAGGAGGAGGAATAGGAGGAGTAGGAAAGGGGTTATTGACCTTTTTCATTTGTTCGAAGACGATACCTTTCGTTGTCCTAATCGTTCAGATGATAAAACTGATACATAGATGGATAGTTAACGATTAATATCTCTAATGAGAATTTTCAAGAAAAATTTCCTTTTCTTTCTTATTTTTCTCTTTTTTTTTCCTTTGCTATTAATAACATAATCAAAAACTTAAGTCTTCGATGTTATAGAAGGAAAAGGATAAAAATGAGAAATAGAGAGAGGAAGAAATAGAAAGAAATGAAATGAAATGAAATGAAATGAAAATCTTAAATACCAAGCCATATATAATCGCTCTTGTAAACGAATTTTTGCTTCGTTTCTTTCTCTCTCTTTCTCTCTTTCCCTCTATTTCTCTTTGATACCTCCAAATGAATGTTCCTAACGACCAACGTGGCATTATGTAAGAAAGTCAGAGAGAACCGATTCTAAGAACGTCCTAGTGTGCCCGTATGTTTTCCTAGGTCAGTGGGTATTGCGAGTGTTCCTTCGATTTTTCCTCTTTCCTTTTCGCTCGGCTCCATTGGTCTTTGCGAAAATATGGAGGTCGGTTGGTAAGGTCGGCCAAGATGGTACACCATAATTTCTAGAAGATCTCCTTTGAATAATAAGATTCTTGGGAGAAGCTAATAAAGTTTTCTCTCTATTTTTCCTTGCTCTTCTTTTTCGTCTTCGTACTTTTATTTTATTTTTTTTTTCTTTTTTTTTTCTTTATATATATATATATATATATATATATATATATATATATATATATATATATATCTTCCAACATTCTACTCTCCTTCTCTAAAATTTTGCTAACACTTTATCAAAATATATATATTATTATTATTACTGTTGTTGTTGTTATTATTATTATTATTATTATTATTATTATTATTATTATTATTATTATTATTATTATTATTATTAATAAAAATAATTGTACGAAGAAACGTTTAGGAATGTAACGATCAACATGGATTCTATAATAAAAATTATACGTGCCAACCGAACGAAACTACAGCAATCTTTCCGTAATACCCCTTGTCGAAATTCTAGCAATTTTTCAGCGTTGATCCAAAAATGTCTCCCACGCGTATAACCGTAAAATGGAATCTGTGTGCAAGTCTATATATGTGTGTGTGTGTATGAGTGTATCGCTATAAATATTAATCCTATAATTGGCCTACACGGTGATTTACGCGACTCATAAATGTGCCTTGCCGTTATTTACAATGACAATTTGTGCACACGTGAGTCATGAATTTGTACGTTTTGTAAAACGTATACACGTTAGTTGAGAGCGTTAATACGAATGAAATTTTTCGGTAAACGAAATGGCGACGATTCGATTTTTAACATTAGAAATTTTCTATGAACGTTATGGCCGAGAGCCGTAAAAAAAAAAAAATGTTCTTTTCATTCACACGAATCGAAGGTAGCGGAAGGGGAGCAGGGAGATGGGAAAAGGGTGGGGGCAGATTGGTGACGTGAAAATGTCGTTTAAAAAATTCTGTTCGTAAAACGTTGCTAACCGAATGGACAAACACACGCGATATCACGCGTGGATACGATGGTATTTTTTTCTTTTTTTTTCTTTTTTTTTTTGTTAGCTTCGGTGAGAAAGAAAAAGAGAGAGAGAGAGAAGAAAAGAAAAAAAAATGTCGAATTTAACGATCCTTTTATCCGAATTCCCGTATTTTCCATCGTTCGTTCTATGTCGTTCTATGTCGTCCATGGTGGTATTGGAATGGAAGAAGAAACTCAATGATCGTTTCTGTTCCCTTCTAGAAACGTCGAAGAAGAATACCAATGGACGAAGAAAATTACACAAAGCCATTCGGAGGGCAGCGAGGAAAGAGAGATAAAGAAAGAGAAAGAGAGAGAGAAAGAGAGATAGAGAAAGAGATGTAGCGACCTTTTTACTCAACGCCGACCAACCACCTTCTTCTCCTCTTTTTCCTTCTCTTCCTCCTCCTCCTCATCGTCGTCGTCGTATTCCAGCGTCCACTTTTCGTAAAGTATCGCATTTCCTTCTCTTTCACGAGATACGTGAATCTCTCTTCTAGCTCTTTTTTTTTCTTTTTTTTTTTTATTTTTTATATCCTCCTTTTCCGAATATATTTATCTACTTACAATACACATATAAATACTTAACACCTTCACAAGACAAGTTAAAGTTCGAATGACGTTTGAATAACGTGTATTCATTTGCATAAAACCTGCGAATTCATTAAATCTCCTGATAGTAGGAGGGGAATGAAGGATTTATGGAATTAAAATTCTATGTTAATAAAAATCGAATTGTCGATGACGAAAGGAAAAAAAATGAAAAGAAGAGAAAAATAAAAAAAAAAAACAGAGAAAAGAAGAAGAAGAAGAAGAAGAAGAAGAAGAAGAAGAAGAAGAAGAAGAAGAATAGGAAATTGCATTCCTACGATTTAAATACCGATTGAATAATTACTTATTAATGCGAATTTATGCGATATAAGAGCGGAAGCATATTTCCCACTTAAATTCCTCGTTCCGTAACCTAGTTTTCTCGATCGTTTCGCGAGTTTATTATCTAGCACGAAGTTTGTTTTCCTACTGCCACTTTACATTTGCTGTTTTTAAATCCGCTTGAGATCATCTTAGCATGTATAAGTAAATACATACATACATATGCGTAGATATATATATATATATATATATATATATATATATACATATATAGTTACGCATATACGTTTTCTATCATTGTAGGTGCATGTAAAAATCATACGTATTCTCTCTCTCTCTCTCTTTTTTTTCTTTTTTTTTTTTATGCATGTATGTATATACAATTTTCTGACTAGTAAAATATTGAAATGCAAAAATTGTTGACAAGACGACGACGACAAGGATGACGACGATTATGACGATGATGATGATGATGATGATGATGATGATGATGATGATGATGATGATGATGATGATGATGATGATGGTGATGATGATGATGATAACGAAAACATATATACTAATATACGAAACTTTTAAAACGCACGTACGCATACACTCGTGTAACCCTTGTAACGTAGGCTCTCGTATTTAGCTTAAAGAAATCGATATCAGAGTTCTTTCGTTGTTCCTTCCTTCTTCTTCATCTTCTTACTTCATGTTTACCGGAAGACAACGATGCCTTCCTGTATTTCGTAATATTCATCAAACAATGAATCATCTCGACATTTTTTGTTTCCTTTTTTTCTTTACTTATCTCATACTAATATAGTAATATTGTAATATATAACATAATAATATTTTATATGAATTATGTATATATTCTTTTTTTTTTAATCTCTTGTTAAATAAAGATCATGCTTGTAAAATGAGTCATATGCGTACGTGTGCGTATACATATATATATATATATATATATATGTATATATGGTATATATCGAAAGAAAGATATTCAGATTCCATTATCCGTACTGTTACTCCATTTTGTCGCTTTTCCGAAACTAAAATATTTATCAAACGTTAAACGTACGTTAAGTATACTTCTAAGCGAGGCACGAACCCGTTTGAGATTTCCACGGCTCGAGAGCAGCAGGAAGGAATTCCATTCTCCGATTAAAGTGTGTATGTGTGTGGAAAAGGAGAGAAAGAGAGAGAGAGAGAGAGAGAGAGAGAGAGAGAGAGAGAGAGAGAGAGAAAGAGATTGGAAGCGGGAACGAGACGCGTTGCCTTAGCGACTTTTACGACTCGAAACACGATCGCGAGTACTAACGGCGTTTAGAAGTCGTAAACGGCTTGATGGACGAGCGTGGATAAAGGGTAGTACCAAGCATTACCATGTAATATTTATTAATCCCCACTACCCGTATCTGAAATCCATGCAACAAAGGTCCCATCACCTTTATACGATTGCACGTTGGCGTAACTAATCCTCAAAAGGAAATCGTCCAGGATATATATTTATAACAGAAATGAGTTAAATTCATTGAAATAATGAAGTTATGATGATATAGTGTTATATCGAAGAGAGAAAGAGAGAAACAAATAATAATAAAGTAGGGTAGATAGATGATTTTCCTTCTTTGTTTGTTTCATCTTTTTTTTATCCTTTTTTTTTCTTTCTTTCTTTCTTTAATTACGGAATTAAAAAACAATGACTCCTATACTGGTATTCAATTTTTTGTTAAATATTATACTTCGAGTCTATTTAATAATAATAATAATAATAATAATAATAATAATAATAATAATAATAATAATATGTCCGAAAAGTATCATTTTATTTTTGTAACCTTTTTTTTATATATATATTATTTATAAAAACACGTCGAATATAACGTATAACAATAATATTAAAGGTCGTATTATTTCTGTACATACATATGTATATTAAAAATTCAAATAAGTCTATGGTTTTTTTTTCTTTTTTTTTTTTTTTTCTTTTTCATTGATAATTTAATAATTTATTTTAATTTCATGTTTCATTGAAGATAACAGATAATCAACATAAACTTTCCGGAAATAGAATCCAATACTTGTGATAAGATAATTTTACAACGAAGGAGGAATAGTACAACGCATTATACATATGTACATGTATTTGTATAAAATTCAATTTATCATGTATTCCCATATACACATACGTATATATGTACAAATGTGGTCGATCGTAATGACCAAGGATGGAACAACGTTCTCTCGCATCGAGTTAGTCCGATAATCTTGGTTTTTGTTTTCGTCGACGGCCACTATCATTGCAATTCGTCTTGTTGCACTTCAATGAAGATAAAATCCATATTTTTCCTTTTCTTTTTTTTTCTTTTTTTTTTTCCTTTTAGTTCTTCCTCTTCTTTTCAATTAACCGTAATTATATATCGGTCTTCTCTCTTTTTCCTTTTCCTTTCTATTTTCTTCCTTTTTTTCCCCTCCTCATTTTAAATTAAAACGTAGCGATTAAGAAAAAAAAAACGAAGGTTATAATAATCATGATGATATCATTAAGATCGTATTAATGTATAATAGATACATCAATCATATGAATCTATTAAAAGGGATCGGACTGAAAATCATTCTATATCATTTTCATTCCTAACAATTCTATCCGCGCGAACAAAGCAACTACGCATGTATATATAAACGATTAAACTTGATCCTTTTTCACACGCTCCGATATCTTCGCAATAACGTTGTTACCCTAATTACGTGTATTATCGTAATAACGCATTCGCGCATTAATTACGCAAGATCAAACGTTCTATTGCAAATAAATGACATACACTGCGATAATAGAATGAATCGTATTATATATATATCTATATATATGTATATATTTACGTAATAATGTAATTTATGAAGTACCTTCTCGTTGCTCGATGATAGTTCAATTGTTAGAAAGTATATGCGAATAAAATCATAAACTTAAAACGTAAAGAAGTGAGAAGAAGAGTTTTTCTAGGTGAGACGATGAAAATGGAAAATGTAATGCATAGAAAAAACAAAAAAAAACAAAAAAAGAAAAGATACGCACGTGAAACGAAATATTTATGTATCTATCTATGTATATATACGTGTGTGTACGTCTCTCTCTCTCTCTCTCTCTCTCTCTCTATCTCTCTCTATGTGTATGTGTGTATATACGTACGTACGTAAACTGGAACGTCCTGGAAAAGCAAAGAAAAGTGCCCAACTTTCTAGTCTAACCAAATGGACGAATAAAATTATTTATTATCAAAGAGAGAAATAACCAGAGACGAGTGTGGGCAGACGATGACGAAGAAAAGCGATTACACGAATGCGTATAATTAGCCTATCGACGAAGGAAGTACATTCTTTCGAGATGACATATGTATATGTTTGAAAATATATTAACAGACATCTATCTTTTTACTTTGCTATCACGTGACACTGTATCACGCCATTCGTAATAATAAAAACATCGAAAACAAGAGGAAAAGAGAGGTAAACAGAGAAAGAAAGACAGATAGACAGATAGATAGAGAGAGAAAAAAAGAGAGAGAATGAGAGAATGAGAAAAAAGAGAGAAAGAGAGAGAGAGAGAGAGAGGAAGACTGAAACAGAGAGAGAGTGATAGAAAAAGAAAAAGAGAGAGAGAGAGAGAGGAGTCGTATAACTTGTCTCTTTTATACAAGTTTACGTAATGCAACGACACAAGGAACCTGGGCAATGGGAGATATGTATGTAGATGCATAGCAGCTTGGGAGTCGCGTCGTCTCTACTCCCACGCACGTTACTTCTACTTTTCTCCAACTTTGTTCCTCCTCACCCACCTGTCTGAACGTCTGTCTCTTTTCAAAAAGTGTGTATATGTATATATATACAGATATATATATATATATATATATATCTCTATGTATATGTGCGTGCGTATATACTCGTTGTATTCCTTCTCGACGACGTATCAAGGATTTGCGTTTCCATTTACTGTATGAAGGGAAAAACGTAATTTCATAATGTCTACCAGGTAGACGTTAGATTTCTTCGATTCTTTTTTTTTTTCTTTTCTTTTCTCTTTTTCTTATGTCTTCTTTCCTTTCGAACGAGTATATATAAGTAGGGGAAAAAAAAAGGAAAAAGAAGAAAGAAAAGAAAAAAAAAGAAAATGTCGGAGAAAAGTTTTGATAAAAGAACGATGAAATCAAAGAAATAATTTATATTACTACGTTGCTGTATGAATATATTTTCTAAATGAGGCAACGTCAGAATGATGAAAGAAAGAAAGAAAGAAAGAAAAGAGAAAGAAAAAGAATCATTAAAATAAGAAAAACACAGATTTCTCTGATTAAAAGTATCGACCATGAGTAGATACCACTTTTCCCATTGAGTTTACGTAATTAAAAATACTCAAGCATTTAATCACCTCGATGGTACTTGATTAATTTATAAGCTGCGATGCGCACAGTATCTCAATGCATTCCAATGTTTCTTTCACACACCTACACGCTCGTATAGACTCGTTTACGAATGAGAGGCATGATTAAACAACAGTGCTCCTATTGGTTTTCTTCCTTTCACGTTCCTTTGAATGAAAATTTATGTCATTAACGCATAAAAAAAAACTAACAAACTAAGGTCTATTAAATGAGAACAATTTTTCTCAAATATCTATTCAATAAAAATTTTCTTTCGATTTTTAATAAATTCCATGATAATGAATAAATAATGAAAATATAAAACATCGAACGAAATTGTTTTTTTCATAATTAATAAAATTTTATTAACGTTAAAATTACAAATCTATTATTAATATTCGTTTAATATTTTAAGCAGACAATAGTATCCATTTATAATATTAAAATATTTCTCCAATTCCCTTATTGCGTTTATTACATTTTATTTCATTTTACAATAATAAAAAAATAAAGAGAAACATTTAACAAAAGTCTCCATCGCGTCATTTTGTTGGCTATGGTAAATTCTTCGTGTTAATATATAAAAAAGGAAAGCAAAAAACAAGAAGCAAAACAATAAATTAACGAGTCAACGATGAATTAATAAATCCATTTCGTCAAATATACATAGCGCTTCATTTATTCCCTCGAACGTCTTATTAATATTTTTAAAAGATCGAAGTAAGTTTCAAGATGGAACTGTAGGTAAGGCTCGAGAGGCAAAGGGCAAAGAGTGCGAGACGACAAAGTTAATGGGCAGAGAAAGAAAAGAGAGAAAGAGGGAGAAGAAGAAGAAAAAAAAAAGAAGAAAAGAAAAAAGAGGAAAAAAAAAAAAGAAAAAGAGGCAGATAGAAAGCATATTCGAGCTGACGTTGGAAGGTCGGCTTTCCTCCTTTTACCGGAAATTACGAAATGGCGTTACTTTCCATGCTTCCGTTGACGTAACGCAAATACGAGTCTCGTCTACGTCGTCGTGCCCATTTCCTTGAGTTAGAAAGAGACGGCTCATCGCCCTCACGTATCGCGACGAGAGAAAGAAACGGAAAAGGGAGGAAAAGTACAAGCAAGAGAGAGATAGAGAGAGAGAGAGAGAGAGGGAAAGAAAAAGAGAAAAAAGAAGAAGAAAAAATAATATACCAAACGAAACGAAACGAAAATATAATAGCATAACTAGGAATATGAGAGTAACAATTTCTGATACTTTTTAAAACTACGTGACATGGACATTCGATCGTTTTCTTCTGTAACGCAAATAAGTTATATCGATTAGATTACAAACTACGTACGATTACATATCTATATTTCGAGATCGACGTTACTAGATATGTATCAAATTGAATCCTAATATAATCCAATGTGATTACTCGATATATGATAATTTAGAAAAAAGTTTTGAAGACTTTTAAAACGTGCTTGATTACATACGTGTGCTATCGATGTTTAGGAAGTTGAAACGTCCCGTTTAGAAGATGTTTAACAACTAACGCGACTGTGGTTAATGACGACGTATATATGTAGATATCTAAGTATTTATTTATGTATTTTCGTCCTTGTCGTACGTATCATTGAATACCGAATAAACAGACACGGCGTGTGCGTGTTTAAATAAGAGAGACAGAGATTGAAGTAGAGATAGAGATAGAGATAGGGAGTAACTAAGAGACACAGAGAGAGAGAGAGAGAGAGAGAGAGAGAGAGAGAGAGAGAGAGACAGAGAGAGAGAGAGAGACAGAGAGAAGACAAAGAGAGAGAGAGAGAGAGATAGTAAGAGAAGCGACCAAGAGCCCGAAGCTAATCGCCTTAACGGCAACAGCGGTTAGTAAATAGCTAAGGATATTGACCGCCTTCAACGTATACGACTGGTCCGATAAGTACGTCGTAAAGCGGTTAACGAGCATCGCCGTAGGCTGAGCACCGATTCATCGCTAATTACTAATGCACCCCCGCGCTTCCTATCCGATGGGGGATGACGTCGAACTAAGAGGAGACGACGACAACGACGACGACGACGAGAACGAGGACGACAACGATGACGATGACGACAACGGTTAGAACGAGAGAAATTACGAGGTACGACGTCTTGTGCTATCTTGGATTCACGATCGATAGATAGGTTACTTAAACGACTATGTTGATTAATAATCGTTATTGATAGTCACGGCTTAATGATTTAATCGACAACGATCGATGTTATTATAGTTGTCATAAGAAATGATGACTAAACTGGTAAGATAATAAATACGAAAATATGTGTAGTTAATTTTAACAGTTTAAATAAGTGAAATTTAATTAATGGTAGTAACCAGATCTGGTAATAATAGTCTCTGAGAGAGTTGTTATACAGAAGAAGAGATATAACATGTCCGATCGGATACTGAGCCTGTTAATACATATATATATATATATATATATATAGGTGTAGATTATCATAAAAAGAAAAAGGAAAATAAAAAAAAAGTATCCATCAAACGAGCCAGACGACTCGTTCTATATTTATAGTAGCGTTCTCCCTCCGATCCCAAAAGAACTTTTTAATAAAATATCGTTTCAACATTTTTCGATAGATCGGTATCATAAAAAAACAAACCATATGAAACAACGTGAAACATAGTTTTTAAAATTCGAGATATTTCGTTAAGTCGCTTTTAAATTACATGTGTATAAGAAAAATACAGAAGAGAGAGAGAGAGAGAGAGACAGCAAAAAATTAGGGTAAAGTATCGTATTATCAAAGTCTCCGACCGGTATGCGGTTAGTGGATATAAAGAGGGGTGAAGGACCGCCCTTTATGTTGGTGATTTCTGCTCTCTTTCAACCAACCTCCCAAAGCTTCCTCCCTCCCTCCCTCCCTCCCACCTCTACTACCCTCCTCTTTCACTTCGCCGTCATCCCATGCACTTTCAACACACATCGACCACTGTGGCCTGTCGTTCGGCCGGTCGGTTTCATCCCTCCTCTTTCCCTTTTATGGCGCATAACCGTGGCCATTTTGACCGGCCCGGCAAGTAATTCAATTTATAATTGAGCGAAAACCGCGATAGCGGGTGAGTATAAGCGAGAGAGAGAGAGAGAGAGAGACAAAGGTAGAGAGAGAAAGAGAGAGAAAATGGTGCCGTCGTGTCTAGCCAGTGGAGCAGTCTGTGTTGGCTCGACTTCGTACGGGTCATTAGTACGTCGGCATATCGACCGACGTTTTCATCCCTCTTACTCCTCCATCGTAACCCTTAGAATACTAACCCCACACTGCCAACTCGTACTGCTATCTCTCTCTTTCTCTGTCTGTCTGTTTGTCTCTCTCTCTCTCTCTCTCTCTTTCTCTGTTGCTTGCCCAGTCATTAGGAAATACTTCCAAAGTCCATCCATTCACTGGCCTAGAGCCGTACTCTCTATCTGTCTCTCTTACTATCTCTTTTCGTTTCTATCTCTCCTTCCCTACCTCCCAACCACCCTCGTTACTCCTTTCGACCTTCCTGGCCTACTCTCCCTTTCGCCCACGGGAACGTAGCACGCGCCATCCGGCACACCGTGATTTTCTCTCTCTCTCTCTCTCTCTCTCTCTCTCTCTCTCTCTCTCTCTGTTTCCCTCCCTTCCTTCCTCCCTCCATCCCTCTCTCTCTCGCTCTCTCGGAGAAAAAGCACTCTCCCGATTGACTTCTTTCGTTACGCTTTGCCGCGAAGGCCAACGTTTCAACCCCCCACTCTCTCACTCTCTCTCACTCCCTCTCTTTCTTTTTTTTTCCTTTCTCTTGCTTTCTCATTTCTGTTCTCTTCGTTCGGATCACTGAAAAGGGATACGAAAATAGGTCGACGATACTGCGGGAAAGGTCATTGGCTCGTATACGCACGCTCGAGTAAAACGATACTTGCCATGGTGAAAGGATATCTTTTTTTTTCTTCTTTTCTTCTTTTTCTCTCTCCTTCTACTCTTTTTTTTCTTCCTTGCTTTTTCTTTCCTTTTTTTTTTTTTTCTTTCGACGATCGATCGAAAAACTAATGCTCGTTCAACGTAACTTTTTTGCTTTTGTTAATCGAAAAGCGTCGTTTTAATTCATCGATTAAAATTTCTCGAAATCTTCTAATAACAATTTTAATTTCTTTCTTTCTCTCTATCTCATTTTTCTATTATTTTGTTCTTTCTTTCTTTCTTTCTTTTTCTTTTCTATTTGACCACGAAGTAACATCACATCTACGGAAGAGGCGGGGACAGGGGACGGCATGTTATAATGGTGGTCATGATGGTATAAATGAAATTCTATGTAAATATCAAGGAAGAAACGAATGGACCCCGTTTCAATGTATAAAACTCGATCGATGGGAACATCTTCTCTCTTTCGAACAATTCCATTCTACTTACCGAGCAATGAATCAAAGCCGAACGAGCATTATCGTGATCGTATTGTCCGCGCAATAGAATTTAAACTGAGAACTCTCCTTTCTACAGCACCGAAGAGGACGAACTTTGTACACACCGCTCGGATATCCTTGCTAGCTCGCTTCCTCGTGTCTCTTTCGGTTTCTCTCTCTTTCTCTCTCGCTCTTTCATTCCCCGATTCTCCCGAGCTCACCCCAGCACCACCACTACTAGTACCAACCATCCACCACCACCATCACTACTACCACCTTCTATCAACCCCTTATACACCAGCCTCTCCTCTCTTCGTGTAACTCCTCGCTTCCTCGCTCTGTCCCGCTCTCACCCTTTCCTACCTCTTCGCGCCGTATCCATGGAAACGCTTGGGAGAGCCAAAAGCTCCGAGATAGGAAAAGGACCAAGGCTGCGTGAGGAGAAGCAACGTACTCTACGGGGAAAGAGATAGATAGAAAGAAAGAGAGAGAGAGAGAGAGAGAGAGAGAGAGAGAGAGAGAGAAACAGAGAGAGAAACAGAGAAAGAGAAAGAGAAAGAGAGAGAAAGGAAGAGAAACCGGTGGAGGCTTCGAGAGGGAAACTTTGTAGACACGACGTTTCCTGGCAGAAAGGGCTGCTGCTACTACTGCTACTGTTGTTGCTGCTGCTACTACTGCTACTGCTGCTACTGCTGCAATCGCTCCTGCACCTTTGCGAACGAATGCTCCGATAAAAAGCACCGGCGAACGAGAGAATGAGAAAAGAGTCTCCTTCTGCTTCTGGTTGGACAACGCGTACTGTAAACTTCGAACGATGTTTTTTCCCTCGACCAATAGTAGAAACACATATGTGTTATACGTGTATGTACATACGTATGTACATATTTACATATGTATATATGTATGTATGTATATTTGTATGTACGTAAGTTACGGTACATTACTGACTGTTAAATTATTTAAAGAATCTTTAAATCGTAGAAATAGTAGTAGAAAGAATAAAGCGTATTATCCAGCACGAAGAAAATCTATGGATTTTCCAGCAACAATTATCAAACCCGAAGAGATCTGTTATTGGTGGTAGCGGAGCGATTACGTGAATAAATATTGTAATAATTCCTTTGAACCCTTTTGTTTTTCATTCGTACATAGATCATGTATGTTTACTGTACTTTAAGAACACGCTTATTACTATTCCTAGTTCTATAACTACACACACACAGAATTTTCTTCTCGTATATTTCATTCGTACTCGTATATTCAATTATTTTATATTAAATAAAGCAAAAACGATAAGTACATATATACCAGGAAAAGGATTTTCATTTTCCGTCTTGCTAATCGGCATTACTTCTTTTCCCTCCCTCTCACCCCCTTCCCACCACTCTTTTTATTTTCTTTCCAGTATACCTATAAAACCTATGTACAACGTGAGGTAATTTACTTTCGGATTTAATGAAAACGCTTTTGCTGCTTTTGAGAGAAAGGAAAAAGCGATCGCGTTTGCGCTCGAGAGAGAGAGAGAGAGAGAAAGAGAGTTTGGCAGTTTACAACGGGCCCTTCGAACTTACCTGTACATATGTATATAGGGTATGTACTACTTGGTTCGACGGTTTGTAACAAGTTCCATGCGATCGAAATTCCTCTATCGGTTCCGGTGATCCATCGCTTTTCCGATAAATCGTTTCGCGATAGCCGTTCGAGCGTATCGTCTATCTTCGCGATGCGAGTTTTCCGAACGCCTTTTCTACTTTGTATGTAACTACACCGTCACGAGAAACGATACGCGAGTTCCACCCACTTCGTCTGAAAGTGTTCAGGAAAATCGCATTAATTTCGGAGCTAGTTTAAACGTACGAACGTACGAACAAACGAACGAACAGGGCAATCTTTCGTTTTAACGAAAAATCGTCCGGACGTTTCATTAGATTTTCACTTCGTTACGAAAGTGTATCAATTTTTTAATGGTGTAAAAAGGAAGAAAAAGAAAGGAAGAGAGCGAAGTGGGGGGAGAGAGACTGAGAGAGAGAAAGAGGTCGCGAGAGTATAGCTCGATTAATTTCTAATTTATCGATGCGCGAAGGTGCCACGTCTAATTAAAAGCTCTAACAACACGCGAGAGTAATAGATATATAACGTCGTTCTACTAATTACACCAGCGGCCGAGTTAAGTTCGATTAAAGTGCAACGTTTCGTTTCATAAATGAATGAAAAATTTTCCACGACTATGTACTTAACACATATATATATAAGTATATTAACCCTTAAATGCGAATGTGGTCGCGGAATTA